CCCTAGGCCTGAAGGGTCTATCCCAACAATCAAGCAACTTTGAGGAAGTTTCAGCACCAGATTATGCATTTTAACATTATACTAACAAACCTTAAACATTAATATTTATTCTGGGACTAACTGCACCAGGTCTGTCAAAGTTGGAATGTCTATACTCTACCATACTATGCATGCTCAGGGATGAAGAAGCCCTCTGTGCTTCTTTATTTAAAAGAAGTTGTGATATTTAGTAACCAAAGCTAAGAAATGCTCAATCTTTATTATAATTGAAATCCCAGTGATGTTATGCACCAACTCCATGCAATTTAATACTCAAACAGAAAAATACACAAGTGTGAATATAATACGTATACATTCATTTTGTAAGTCAAATATATATGCTAAGTGTAGTAAAGAATCAACAGTCAAATTGTCCTGTCATTACAAGTGATCCTTCAGAGCGGGAAACAACTTAACAATTCCCAAATCTTCTCCCTCTGACTCAGGCTGAAGACTTTCTTTTTGCCGCTACTTTTAATTGAACTATTCACATCTTACACTGCACTGTCACTTGTATTCATGTACCTGTGTTATTCATGTTTTATTATCTTTGCTTTTTAATGTTTCTAATGTGTTTTATGCTGTTAATGTCTTTACATTTTGTAATTCACTTTGAATTGCCTTGTGTTGAAAAATGTTATATAAATAAACTTGCGTTGTAAAAGATAATCTAAATGCCAACAGAAGTGGAAGAAGCCCAAGATATCTACCTGTTGCCGACTGTTCTTTAACTGGTTTGCCTCTTGTACCTACTTCAAATGTTTTAGTATCATACCAATTTGTTACTGCCATTGGCAGTTTAATCTCCTCTATTACACCTAATGTTAAATACTTAAATTAATCAAATTAACTGCAGCAAACATATTTTCAGAGTAAGCACTGTGGTTGTTACAAAAGAAAGTCAGCCCATTGTGCACTAACAGCACAAAGCAGCAACACAATAGAAAAACCACCACTACCTCCCTGCTAATCGACCCATTTTAGCAAATCTAAGGAGAGAGAGTTGACAATTTGCTGTCTATAATAGCACTGGCCAAAAGAGACGAGTTACTGAGGCGGTGAATACCCACTCCGTCTGAAATGATCGTGCTGGATCAGCTGTGGCATTGCGCTTCTCCCAACCATGAAGAGCTGCAGGCCTATAATTAAAGCCTTTATTGATTAGACTCTACGCGCTCCTGCGTCCTCTGGACCGTGAGCCAGAGGCGCGGGTCACTCACTGTTACTATGCTAATGTCTATGGTAATACAGCCACCGGTCTGAGTCGATTATTGACGCGTTCCCTAAATGGACGGTTGATCTACAATTGAAGCTTTGTGAAGAGGGGTCAATGGCAAAAAGATTGATACCGGGGCAGGAGGTCAGTCTCATCTCGACTCAGGTTTCAGGAAATGAATTGGGAATTACTTCATTAATTGAAATATTAATTGGAAAGTAAGTGACATTTTTCATATCCAGCAGGGATTTCTGTTCATCCCCTGGTGCTGGGCATAAATATACAAGCTCCACCGATAGAGGCCCTGGGGAACGGTTCGCACACAGCCATTTGTTGAGGATCAACCACTCATTGTTTTCATTTAGACATTTATATCTTTCTTTATATGTTTGCAGAGGCAACGTGTGTGTGTGGGGGTGTTTGTGTGTGTTTGGGACTGTAAAAAGAAGACAGATATAAACATGAAAAGAGCACAACACAATAAAAGTCCAGAGGTACAATAAAAGAGCTAGGCAGCAGAAGAGAACTGACCATAGCCGACCCGCTGAAACAGAGAATAACAATGCTTGATGGTTGATGGACCTCTTGAGGGTGCTGGAGCTGGGGGCAAAGCAGAACATCATGCAATCAGTCTGAGAAAGGTCGACGTATTGATCGGCGTGTATGGCTCCACTGTTACATATCAAAAGCATCTCTGCTCTTCTCAACACTTCTCTTTCTCTAAAGATGACCTGAAGTGCAGTGCTCTTTACAGCAGCCCTTCCCCAGACAGCCATCCATTGAGGCACCAGCATCTTCCAGACACATAGTTCTTTGTTACAGCATACCTGGCCTTTCCCAGAAGTTTCCTTCCTGCTTTTCTTACTTCACTTGAACTTATCAGTGTGTGTACACAGCCAGGAAGGAGAGGGAGGGAGTTAATCAGATTTTCTGATTATTATAATTCCAATAAGAAGAAGCGAAAAACATATATCTTTGTATTCCTAAAAATTAATCAATCGGATTCCTCAGTGTTGGATAAAGGATGAAAATGAAACCCTGATCAGTTGGGAGCTGATTTTTTATTAAAAAGAGAGAGCAGAATAAATCCATCTGATCAGACACTTCTTTAATTAACACTCTTATTGCGACATGCCACTCACATTGTGTCTGTGTCTGCCGGTGCATGTGTTTGCTCTGAGCAGCGCACCAACCAGTGTTTGTGTTTAATATCATATCTGGTCCTGCAATTTATATCTACTATACTAAACGTGCATGGAACATTACTCCGGGGTCACGACCAGGTTAAGGGTGTATGAATCATACATGAGTGCGTGTGAAAGCAGGTAGAGTGATCAGAAAGTTGTGGTTTGAGGCAGAGGAGTTTGGTTTCCTTATCTCCGTTTCACACACCTCTCTGCATGGTTGAATGTGGGGTTATTTAAAACAATACCCACATTGAATGCAGCCTTTTAATACATGTGTCTCTGTATCTGTCAACATGCATAAATATGTAAATATGGTCTTACGCATGCCCTGGTGTCTGTACATCGGGGGTCGACAATGTGCTTGGCATTCCAATTTACGGTCGATATCGGATGAGGATATGAGAGTCAGTATTGATTGTAATTTCCTGCGATGCTACGTTCCACTCTCTAGCTTTATCAGGAGACTAATACCTATCAGCTTCGCTGTCGGCTAACCAACAGCCCTGGCGGAGAACAGCTAATAAATAAGAGAGGAACAAATAATCCTGTGAGGCATTTCTCCTCTAACAAATAGGTTGCCACGGGGATGATAATGATGAGGCTGAGATATTGGGTTTGGATAAACGTGTATGTGTGTGTGTGTGTGTGTGTGTGTGTGTGTGTGTGTGTGTGTGTGTGTGTGTGTGTGTGTGTGTGTGTGTGTGTGTGTGTGTGTGTGTGTGTGTGTGTGTGTGTGTGTGTGTGTGTGTGTGTGTGTGTGTTGTTCTGTGTGCGTGTGTCGAGGACATCCATGCAGGCAGGTCATTATGCGTGTGCATGCTTGAATGTGGCCTTGTGTATGTAGTATGTTCTCCAGTGTGTGTATTTGTGTGTTCTGTGCTCAGTGGAGGCATCACACCATCCAAGTTCTCATTGATTTTAATGACAGGACATTTGGGACGACAGGCGTAGGAGTGCCTTGGTATTTGCTGTTGTTGTTGGCTGAAGAATTCAAAGGCATGAGGCTAGCTTTTGCTTGCCATCCTGACAGCAGCTGGAACGGCCAATCAGGTGTCACTTTTTGCATTTGTCGTTAAAATGGTATAATGATGTGCTGGCTGAGTTGTACTGTATGTACCTCCTCTATTTATTTTCTCTGTTTTTAACGTGATTCCTGTTGTGTCTCAGTTTCCCTTCAACTCCTTCTTAACCCATAAGAACCCGGACCCATTTCTACTTTTGGGGAAATTAAGGGGAACACAATTTAGACTAAATAGACCACCTAGAACACATTTCTGACAAGAACCCCCCTTAGTTTCAAATATCTGAGATGTGACATATATGTCACATTGGGCTTTAATGGTAAAATAAATCTTATATATAACTTCATTAACGAGGATGATTGGTTTAAATTAGTTTTTACATTCTTTGAATTGAAGAATAAAGAATATATTAACTAAATATAATTGATTCAGCTAAATTAACTGAGCAGATCATAATAATATTTCTAATTGTGCATAATGTCACTTTGGGTTTACTGTGAAAGTTTAGGGTTAAAGTCCCGATGTGACACCAGTGTCACAGCAATCTTTGTCACATTTGTTTCAAATCAATTTGATCAAGAAATGTTTCCACAACAGGTTCAATGTAATAAAGGACATGTTATGTAAGCATTTTATTTCTTAAATGGCTTGAATGTTACCTTTAGCAACAAAAAACAAGCTTCTGAAATGTAGCTCGTTCTGTCACGGTGGGCCCTTATGGATTTCGAAGGATTCTTTTTGTGTTGATGTTTATCTCTCTGCTTGTTTGTACATTATCTCACCTTGTTTCACTTTCACTCTTCTTTCCCTCAATTCATCCTTTCTTTTTTATGCATATTTTTAAATAGCTTTAAATTGAGTCCATTTGTTGTCAGTTTGACTGGTTGCATGGTTGGTTAAACGCTTTGGTAAAACATGAAGATGACAAATGCCTCCTTCTTTATACATCATTCATGACCTTTCCTTTTTGTCCTCTACTATAACTACTAAAACTACTATCAATGTGCGTTTCAATACTAATTTGGATGTTTTATTTTATATATTTTTAACCCGTTCCTCTTGGTTGTTCAAGTCTTCGGGGAAAATCAAATTGGCTTGTTGCCATTCAAAACTACCATCTTTTTTATATCTAAGGCTGCTGAGCTTCTAGTTAGAAAGCTAGACAGAGCCTGACTGAATACCAGAAAGACCTGATCTAATATTTAATAAAATAATTTAAAACTTAACTTACAGTATAAAAAAATGCTCCTTTCAGAAACCAAACTTGAATACATCTAGTGACTCAAAGAGGCAGCTTGTGGCTAAGTGTAAAGGAAAGTGATGAAGCAACACTGTGTACTCTGTGGCCAGGGCTGTGGTAATGGACTGTTTCTAATCTTTGGCTTGACAAAGGTGAACTCATTCTTTCCTCTCCCCACTGTGCGGCCACAGCTATGATGCGCTCCGTTATGACGAGAGGATGGGGCTGAGGCGGAAGGGGCTTGTGTTTTATAAATGCCAGAACAACACTTGAACGATCAGTAAGACAGAACGAAGTTAGCCAATTGGAAAATACATACATTACACAGCAGCTGTGTGAGCAAGACTGTGTAGAGTACTTTTATTTGAACACTTCTCTATCAAGCAGCAAGATTACATTCTGTGAGTGATTCACATTGTGTACTTTTGTGTTTAGAGATACTTCACTCAAAAAAAGAAAGACAAAGCCAGAAGATGACATTCAGCCTGGTGTTAGCCGCTCTTCTCTGCTTCACCACATGGATGAGCACGGTCCATGCAAGTGAGTACTACTAAGGAATTTCAGGATTTTTGATTGAAGTTGTGGTCTGACTGCTTATTAGTTATCGGTACTAATCTTTTGTTTCATTGTCTGTTTTTTTAAGCCATTGGACCAGAATCCAGCTGTTGTCTCCAGCGGTCTTCAACCAGAATCAAAGCAGAAAAGATTCAGTATTACACCATTCAGTCTGAAGGCATCTGTCCAATCCCAGCCATAGTGTAAGTGTCCATGCAAATTCACACTGCATAGATGTAGCGTTATTTATCAAATGTCCACATGTAGTCACAAATAAATTACAACATATTTATATATTTCTTTGAATAATAAAAAACAACAACAGCTAATTTTGTATTGCGTACCTCTGGTTGTATGTACAATGCAGATCAAGTATATGTGCGTGAAATGTTAACTCTTCTAAAAAGTGAGAAATCTACTTTTGTTTGGATGAAATATGGCACCAAAAGATAATTTGTCCGAATTGAATACGTTTTTTTTTAAAAAGCATTATTATACAATTGAAAAAAATGACAATTCATTACAGGTTTCACACAAAAAGTGGAATCAAGATTTGCTCCGACCCTAACAATAACTGGGCAAAATCAACCATGAGGAAAGTGGACAAGAAAAAAGAAGAACAAGCATTGCAACTGAGGAGACAGAAAGAAGAAGGATCAACAAGCAGCATCACACCAGCAGTGTCCGCTACATCAAAA